AGGCTGTGGCACTCCAGAGAACCACAGTGAGAACCACAGTTATCCACACATGAGCAAACAGTGCTGATAGTTTGTTTGACGGTCTGAAAAATGCTTGTCTGCTAAATATGAAAAATAAAATCAGGAAGGAGGAAAACGCTGTCTCACAGGTTCACTGCACAGAGTGTGTTTATGAAGTAATCACAGCAATACAGATGATAACAATATTTTTAAACACCTGAACACACTATATACCAACATTTATTGATATTTGCATCATTTAAGTGTAAATATTTATTATACTGTAAAGTTAAAGAAAATATTGTTTTCAAACTTTGCATTTGTGAACAGTATTTTATTTTTAATCAGTTTGTGACTGGAGACCATGTCAGAACCTCCGAGCTCGTCCTGAGCAAAGCTGCTGCTAATCCAACCTGCTCTCTAAGGTCTGGGCATGTCCGACTGGGAGGAGGTCATGGAAGTCCATCTCAGCTAGCTTGGGGATGCTGCAGCTTTTCCTCCAGACCATCAGGAGGATGTAGGTGGGATAGAGAGGTGTGGCAGTCTCTGTACAGACCAGACTCTGTCCCTGAGACCTGGACCAGCATGAGTCAGATGGATCAAAGGTTTGTGTTAAATATAGAAAATTCAGGAAAATTTAAGCAATGGAGGAAAAAGCTCATTACCCAGGAACCAAAGATGTTCAGGAGATCTGTGTGTATACAGGCTCATGTTATACAGCTCTTAGATGACGTATTACACAATATGATAAATTACCGTGGACTAACAGTTCTTGTGTGCGCCATTAATGACCAATAATTATCAAAATGTGATCAAACGTTCTTTATTTTATTGTGTGGCACATTTTTTCTCCTTTGCTGCTACAACTGCTGCTCCCACTGCTGCTCCCAGTGCTGCTCCCAGTGGCCCTAAAATGCTCCCGAGGCCCGCTCCTATCCCAGCAGCCCTCAGGATCTTGTTCTTCCTCTCTGCCCGGCTTCTCGCTTCTTCTTCTCCCATGTCTGGATTTTCTCTCATAAGTCGTTCCATCTCTTCTCTGATGGCTCTCTCAGCTTCCTGCAGCATGTCATTGGTGTAGTATGTTGCTCCATTTCTCTGAGTCATGGTGTTGATCTTCTCCAGCAGCTCTTTGACCTGAGAGCGATCCTCACTCCTGTTGTTAAAAACATGATATCTTCCTCCGCACTGATTGATGAAGCGATGCAGAGGCCGATTTCCACTGATTGATTTGTCGATGTCGATTCCGTTTGGCAGATTGTCTCCATACGTGAACAAGACTATGGTGTAACAGGCTGCATCCACCCCAAATATCTTCTGAAGGATTTTTATCGTTTCTTCTTCTGCTTTTGTAAACCTGCCGATCTGGATCACAACCAGGAACACGTGAGGACCGGGAGCAACAAAGGAGACGCATTTAACGATCTCCGTCTTTACATGCTCCTGAGTCAGTAGGGTGTCAAACAGACCCGGAGTGTCAACTACATCCAGGATGTGACCATCCACCTGCCCTGTTACTTTGCGACACCCAACTACTGATGAAGAAAAAGAAGTTATAGACTCAAAGGCTTTTCTTCCTAAGATGGTGTTTCCTGATGCACTCTTCCCCACTCCAGTTTTCCCAACAAGCACAATCCTCAGGTGTGGGAACCCATCTCTCACTGCATCTCCTGGAGAACATAAACAGACAGCGTTAGTGGGACAGCATTAGTGGGACTCCCAGGTCATCACACAGGTCATCACACAGGTCATCACACAGG